AATTTCCCCACAGACATTAGACATTCAAATAGTTGGGAGATTATTTAAATATCAATTATTAAAGCTATCCAGGCTATGTTGTATAGACAAATCCCTCACCCCAGCTCTGTGCCTCTAGAAAAGAGTGAATTTAAAGCTTGTTTATTGATATAATCAACTTCCATATCAAACAGGAATGGCAAAATCTATAGCGTTTCCAAGACTATGATTTTGAGCCTTCAAATGTACTGTTAGAGTTGCCACTTTCATTCATAGAGGGCGTGTGTCTTTTGGTAAAGTCTGTGATAAATTCAGTGGTTCTACTCTGAATTCAGTACCAAGCTGAAACTGGCAGAGATGGAGATGGGAACAAAGAACCTCCCATGAAGGGCAGTCCCAGAATGATTTTCTTAGCTTCTTCATTCCTGTGCCTGACATGCTGACAGGAAGCCATTTCATTGGGTTTCTCCTCCCCTAAGGAACTAAGTGTGCTGGGGGCCACTATCCATCAATTATCCTTAAGATCAGTCCAGTTTTCTAAGGGTGAGGCTGCAGCTGGGAACAACTGGCATAGAGAGTAGCTCAGTTTTGCTGAAGAGGAGATGAGAAAGGTTGGAAAGAAAGGACATTGCCAGGCTCAGTTATAAGCCGTGTGGGGAGGTCTGACCCTCTGTGTAGAACTGGGGAGCTGGATCCTGGCAACAGGGAAATGCAGAAAGAAGATTGTCAGAGGGAGAAGGCTGAGATGAGTGTGGGGGAGGGCACCACCTGCTCTTTTCTTCTCTCCAGGACCAGCCCTGGTGAGATGCAGCTGAAGCACAAGAAGACGCAGGTGACGATCAATAAACAAATAAACATCAGGCCAGGTGCAGTGCCTCATGCCTGTAATCCCAGCACCTTAGGAAGCCGAGGCAGGAGGATTGCTTGAGACCAGCCTGAGCAACATAGTGATCTGTGTCTACAAATTTTTTTAAAAAAATTAGCTGGGCATGGTGGCATATGCCTGTAGTCCCATCTACTAAAGAGGCTAAGGCCGCAGTGGGCTATGATTGCACCACTGCCCTCCAGCCTGAGCGACAGAGATCCTCCCTCTAAAATAAATAATATTTTGAAAAACAAGTAAGTAAATACAGCCAACCCCAACCCTCATCAGTTTTAAACTAGAGAAAGTGTGATGGAACAAGGTAGTATTGGGAGCCAAAAGGCAAAACCAAAAAATCCAACCAGCCAAACAGGCAAAAAAAACAAAAACAACAAAACCCCCAAAAACCAAAGCAGAAGCCCAATGGAAGGAAAATGTGGGACAGAAATTTAATCAGTAAATAGGAAATAAGCATGAGGTGGCAAGAGGCAGGTCATCCAACTCTCAGCTATGAAAAGAACCAGAACTGGATGGCAAACACGCTGACATCCCCTGCATGGGCACAGGTCCTAGTATGGTGAGGGTGGGGTAACCAACCTCAGCCAGAATCTTATTGTGTGAATTTCTTCTTTTTTTTTTTTTTTTTTTTGAGACAGAATCTCACTCTGTCACCCAGGCTGGAGTGCAGTGGCACAATCTCAGGCCACTGCAACCTCTGCCTCCCAGGTTCAAGCAAATTTCCTGCCTCAGCCTCCCAAGTAGCTGGGACTACAGGTGTGCACCACCACACCTGGCTAATTTTTGTATTTTTAGTAGAGACAAGTTTCTGTCATGTTGGCCAGGCTGGTCTCAAACTCCTGATGTTAGGTCATCTGCCTGCATCTGCCTCCCAAAGTGCTGGTATTACAGGTGTGAGCCACCACACGCAACCCATTATTGTGCAGATTTTGTGTAGAAAGTGTACTGCACTGGCACACAATCAAAATTCTATTATAAGCAAACACACACACATACAAAACAACGACAAAACCTTAATGAGAAAATCTTATGTGACAGAAATTAAAACTATAGTGTTGGGAAGTAGCTCTAACTATAACGTAGAGATGATCATCCCATCACGTCTTAAAGATTTTAACAAAATTATAACAGTCAAAGAAATTATTTTGCACATTTATGTGCTTATACATTACAACTAATTCACAATATTTAATGCCCCCATTGAGAATGGCATTGTGCTTTCCAGGGGGTAGGATCTCAAGTATTTCTCTGTCTTTAGGAATCAGATCATAGAACTGCAGATACTGTTCAAGCTATGGCGCTTACGTGAGATAGTAATAGTACAGGTACCTCTGCTTCCAGGCATGATGAAGTAACTGGTACCAGACAAGCTCTTCTGTCATAAAGAACTAGAAAACTGGACATAACATGGAAGACAACTGTTTCCAGACATTGGACAATGACCAGTGTGGGACTGCTCCCCGACAGAAAGGAAACAAATGAGGGAGACCCACATCCCTCTCATTTGCTGCTTGGAGGCATTTTTCAGACTGTGGACCAGGGAAGGAAATGCAAAACGAGGGCAGCAATCTTACTGACGTGAAGAGATGGAGCTTGGAGTTCGGGAGGATGAAGTAGTTAGGATTTTCGGAACTAAGGACTGCAGAAGAGGGAGCTACAGAATGAAAGATTTCAAGAATGCTGCATAGGAGTCCCCTTGAGTCTGTTGCTGAATACTGAGAATGCACATGGAAGGTGAGTCTCCATGGGGCTGTGCAGAGAGCTACCAGGGAGATATAAGCTGAGATACACCCAAACTTTGCACAAGGCTTAGAAACATCTGCTCTGGTCAGTCAAAATGGAGAAATCACTGAATATTAGGAACACACAACAGTGACCCAGATTGGTCAGGGCAGTTAGTAGAACTAAACTTGCATAAAGGCCACTCTAGACTCACAATAACAATCTTTAAAAAGAAGGCTTTGTTTTGAGGATTCTTTTGTCAAACAGATCTGCAAGTAACTTAACGGCTTGCCAAAACAGAACTCAATGCTCTTCAAAGGAAGACAACAAAACCCAGACATTCAACAGCACAGCCAACAAAAACTGAGATAATTCTTTGCCAGCAGGAAAAAATACTATAAGCAGGAAAAAATACTATAAGCAATATTAAAATAAGTTCTTCAGGGTTATTAAAAAATGATTGCAGAGGGAAACTCAGATTATTAAACAGGAATGGGAAGCAGCAGAAATTATAGATATGCTTTTTTTCTCTTTAAAAAACTTTCTCACAAGAAAATGTTCAGTTTAATATGAAAATGACGATATCATGGGGCTTACACGTAGAAATAAAATGTTTGACAATCATAGTGCAAACAGTGGGAGGGGAAATGAAAGTGTATTGCTGAAAGATTCTCATACTCCTTGTGAAGTGGTGAATAGAGTCAGCACCATCCCAATCAAAACTCTGTAGGTTTGTAAGTTTTGTGTACAGTTGACAGCATAATTCTAAACTTGATAACATAATGCAACTAATCCAAAATAACCAACAAAATTTAAAAAAGAAGAAGATGGTCTGAGTGTGGTGGCTCGTGTCTGTAATTCCAGCACTTTGGGAGGCCGAGGGGGGTGGATCACCTGAAGTCAGGAGTTCGAGACCTGCCTGGCCAACATGATAAAACACTGTCTCCACTAACAATACAAAAACTAGCTGGCTGTGATGGCATGTGCCTGTAATCCCAGCTACTCAGGAGGGTGAGGCCCGAGAGTCACTTGAACCTGGGAGCTGAACGTTGCAGTGAGCTGAGATAGTGCCACTGCACTCTGGCTGGGCAACAAAGAGAGACTCTGTCTCAAAAAAAAAAAGAAAAAGAAAAAAAGAAAGAAAGAAAAAGAAAGGAAAGAAAAGAAAAGAAAAGAAAAACAAATAAGGAAGTTGGAACTCCTAGCTGAGTTCAGGATGCATTACAAATCTCTATAAACAAGACGGTGTGGTACTGCTGTAAGAATAGACATGTAGATCAATGGAACAGAATGAGTGTCCAGAAATACACCAACACATAGACGTAGATTTCAGCAAAGGGGCCAAGATAATTTAGTAGGGGAAAGAATCATTTTTCAACAAATGGCTTTACAAAAATTAGTTATTCAGATGGGAAAACAATCAGCACAAAAGTTATCACGAATTGGATAAGAGGTTAAATTAAAAAGAAAAAAATTTAAATTTTTCAGAAATAAAAGTAGGAGAAAATCTTCAGGACTTTTGGGCAGGAAAAATATTTCATGGGAGACAAAAAGCATTAACCATAAGAGTAAAAATAATGACACACTGAATTCCATTTAAATAAAAATGCCTATTCCTCAAGATATTAAGGTATCGAAAAGGCTCCAAGATTAGGAGTGAAGGATATTGGATTAAGACAGCACTGGCTGCCACAAAAAAATATAAACACAGAAGGCAGAAGCCACAAGAGTGGTCTAGGCCGGTAGAAGCCAGGAGGAGGCCCCGGGAGAGTCTGTGGGGTTCCACAGCCAGAACTGCCAAACGGGTTCACTCCAACATCATACATCCCGACAGGAGCTAGGCTTTGGCAAAGAGTGCTTGTTACCACATCCAGCATTGCCTGGGTCAGACAAACGAGGCAGTATCCGGTGTCTGAAATAGACTGCAATGAATAGGTCACCCGAGCCCAGTGACCTGGCCTGGCTTTCTTCTGCTCTCCCTGAAAACAGTGTGTAGCATAAACCACAGCGGATTCTGCTTCCCCTCCCTGCTGGGCACAGAGGGGTGACCAATCTAGCAGGGACTTCAAGGGTAAAGTTGAGCCCACAACCAAGAATCATAAACAATTTGAAAGGGACCGTCACCATGACAGAGAGCGAACTTAATAGAAAACTTACACCTAGGGAAACTGAGTCAATAGAACAAATAGAACAGTGCTTTAAAATAAATACAATTTATAGCCTCAGAGTAATAAAGGAAGGTTTCCAATAAGAACTAATTAGATTTATTGGAAATAAACTGCTGAGTAGTAAATTCATGTGCTAGAGTCAGGCCAAGGAACCTTCTCAAAATGTAGTACAAAGGGATAAAAAGATAAAAGGTATGGGGCAGGGGGAATCACTGTGATTATTATCATTATTGCTACGATGATGATTATTATTTGAGACAGGGTCTCATTCTGTCCCCAAGGCTGGAGTGCAGTGGTGCAAACAGGTCTTACTGCAGCTGTGACCTCCTCAAGGAATCCTTTCACCGCAGCCCCCCAGTAGCTGGGACTAGAGGCACGCACCACTAAACCTGGCTAATTTTTGTACTTTTCGTAGAGACGTGATTTCACCATTTCGCTCAGGCTGGTCTCGAACTCCTGAGCTCAAGCAATCCACCAGCGTCACCCTGCCAAAATGCTGAGATTATAGGTGTGAGCCACCATGCCCCGCTCCAATTTTGTTTTGAATTGCCTGGACAGGAAGCAATGAGATTAACTGGAAGTCACTGTAATATTCCAGGGAGAGATGATGGAAGTTTGACTAGGGTAGTGTTGGCAGGGATGGAGAGAGGTGAACAGAGCTCAAGAGACACTCTGGAGGTAGAATGGACAAGACTTGGTGACTGGCTGTAGAAAATGAGACAGAGGGTGGAGTGAGATGGTGTCTAGGTTTCTGGTTTAGCATCTGGGTGGATGGTGCCACATTCACACAGCAGAAAGTGACAGGAGTGGAGCTAGACGTGATGGCTCAATGAATTTGCAGGGCTAGTGACACCCAAGAGGAGCTGCAGGCCATTGAATATCTATTGGTAGGCCTGAAGCTCAGGACAAAGAGTTGGCCAGAGGTGATCTGAGGAGATCTCCGACTCCAGATGCGGAGATGTTTCCCAGGGAGATGGTGGCAAGTCTTGTGTCTAGAACAGAACCTAGACAAACGTTGACATTTACGGAACCCTAGAAATGGGATGAAGATGAAGAGGGCTTGGTTCTAGTCCTGGGAAGGATGAATCATTAAGTTTCTAAGTCTTCAGCATAAAAGTGTCCATCACTGTTTTCCTGAGAGGAAAAAGCATGAACACCGTAATTACTAAGATGGAGAGCTCCATGAAGGAGTAGAGTGAGGAGGACCCCAGAGACAGATTCCAATCTCGCTGTCCTGCGGCCAGAGTCAGCAGCTGTAATTCAACACTGTGCCAGGAAGACACCACATTGTCAAATGGGCTAACTCCCAGGTAAGCCACACCCCTCCTTTACTGGCATATTTGGCATTCTCACCAGCTAAGTCGCATTGACAAGATGAGCTGGCAAAATTAGGGATGGCTTCATTCCACATATCTGAGTTCCTAAGGGGGGTGTAACACGCGATGGCACTAAGCTTTAGCTTGTTTAGTGTAGGCAAAATGCTCAGTCGTAGATCATGTATTGGAAGGCATATGCTAAAGTACATGGCAGGCTATAAACATTAATTGTTGTTATTATGATACTTTGTGTAAAGCAGAGATGCCAAACATTTGTTTGATTAAATGAAGGGTCAGCTTAATCTGGCTGAATAATTCATTGGATCATCAGTGAGCCAGAGGGAGGGAGAAGGCATGAGAGAGGTGGACAAAAGAACTGAGGGTCTTCTAAGTGCCCAGCCTGTCCCAGGCATGCAAAACCGTATTTTCTAGTTTACTTTCTATGGTCATTATGTGAAGCAGGCGTGATTATTTCTGTTTGACCCAGGAAGGGCCTTTGTCCCAGAGCCGCACAGTAGGGGATGCATATAAATGACCGCCAGGCCTTCCAACACCAAACCTGCATTTTTCTGCTGTTGCATAAGGAATTTTGCTTTCAAATAGTTCCGTTTGAACTTTGAAATACTTTTGAACCTACTCTGAATTTCATTAAACCTTTTTAATACCTTCCTGAAGCCTGGAAGGAAATTGTACCAGGGAAGTACAGTGGAGATGGGGAGAGATTAATAAGTTTATTATGAGGCGAGCATCACTGTCCCCAACAATAATCAATCTATTGCAATCTCTGTGAAGTCCCAGGAGACTTCCCTCCCTCAGGCAAGCACAGCCTCCCGAAAGGTCACATTGCAATCGCTGGTGAGGAAAATGTCAAGCTACTGCTAACACTGTGCTAAATCATTTTTGTAGCTTTTGCATGGAAAACCCCCATGACTGCTGGAGAGCCACGTGTGCCTCTCAAAGAGTCACACAACTATCTTTAGTTGATTGTACAGAACGCTAGTTGGAGCTGTGTTTGTTCTGGAAGACTCATTGAGAGCAAATGATATGCTAGTCTACCAAAGGTTTCTAGGAAATCAGTTAAAATCAAGATAGAGCACAAATTGCAAAAATTCATTAACTGGGTGCCCCTGGAATCTCCTCAGATGATAAATGGGAATAAGAGATTTCACGGTATAGGCTGGATTCCCTTTATATTCTCCCTTCCTATTTATCTGCGGTTATTGTTGCCACAATTGACTTTCATCTTGTTTCCACCTCACTTGATTTTTGTACAATAGGGTTTGTCCTGACTGCCCTCTCTTCTCACTCTTCCTTTTCAGTCTTGCGTGACAACCTGTGATTTTACATATTCATGCTTTTTAAAGTGCCCGATATTCATGAATCTGCCCTCTGTCTCTGTATCCAAGTGCCAGGCTGTTTCCAGGTCAGTATCTTGGATCAAGCTTAGATGGCTCGGCCTCAGCATAGGAGATTCAAGTGGCTGCTATAATCTCAGGAATCATAAAAGTTAAAAAAAAATGACAATAAAAAAGAATGCATAAAATCACCCTTGCAGCATATCAGGGATGGAAGTTTTCGAAGGTAAAAAGGCAGTCTCTCAGCGTAAAGAAGGCAGGACTGAATGTCAAGTAATAGAGAGCTTATATTCAGCTGCCTCCAGATGGCTGTCTGTATGTGGACATGTGTCACAGGCCTTGTTCTCAGCGAGCAGGGAGAGCTCTTGTCCTCCGCCCCCAGCTCCCTCTCCCCCACTCTCAGGACAGTTTGCTTCTCATCTTACCAAATGCATTTTCTTTTTAAAGCACTCTCATTTCCATGAGAACTAGCTCTCTAACATCTGTCCCAAGGAGTCCATCAGTGGTCAAGGCTGATGCCAGAGTGTGTCTTTGTGAGTTTATGATCATTCAAAGTTTGCTAATTCCAAGATTTAGATTAGTATTTTAAGCCTATAATTTAAGGAAATTGTTTAAGAAATAATTTAAGAAAGAAAATCTGAATTTCAGAGAAACCGATAAGTAACATCCTTTTCCTTGTGTGGGTATGAGATGGTATGGGAGATGGACATAGGAAACAGACATACGGAGATCAAAATATCATCCTCATTACAGAGAAATGCAAAGTTGTAGAAGAGGGGTGGGGGCAACCAGTGGGCTGCTAATCCTGAAACCCTGGGAGGGGGGCCTCACTCCCCTGTCATAGGCTTCATTGGCAAGTACAGGCCTGCTTCATGTGGGTCTGGAGAAGTCTTCCCCTTCCCAGGAGAGGCAAGGGAGGGGAAAGGAGGTCACAAGTGTATCATTGCAGGAAACGGGAGGGTGCTCACAGAAGCTCATGGAGGTATACCAAGAAGTAACAGAACCCAGAACTGCATGGCTGAATCTGGTTAACATTTACTGCGGAGGTTCTCAACCCTTCTCAGGCCAGGTTTATAAAAACATCGCTATCTAAAAAATACCCTTAACCTTGGAAGGAATAAAAAAGAAAGACGCTGGGACCCGAAAACCTGGAATTAGTACAAATATGGGCAAGTAGATGATGAAGGATTCACTAACCAAGTTAGAGGAGAGAGGCCAAAGGAGCTGGGCAGCTTTCTCTAAAACAGGTGAAGATGCCTGGAAGACATCACTCTGCCCAATTTCTGTGGCTAGAAGTGGGACTACTAGGAGACGGCCACAAGGACACAGACTTCATGTCAATGTGTAAAATGGAATCACTGGAAAAAGAATGAACTTCCTATTCCAGAAAAAGATTGTGCTGAGACTAGGTGACCACTCTCTGGAATGCTGCAGAAGGTTCTCCTGAGCCGTGGGGGTGGCTGGACTAGATTGGTCATTATTAAAATTTTTGGTTTGCGGACCTCTTTAGTGTCTTAATTTTCGAGAAACCCAAAGAGCCTTTTATCTTTCTCTACTTACCATATTCAAAATTCAAACTGAGTTGTTTTTTCTTTTTTTTTTTAGAAACAGTCTCGCTCTGTCACTCAGGCTGGAGTGCAATAGTGTGATCTTGGCTCATTAGAACCTCTGCCTCTTGAGTTCGAGCAATTATCATATCTCAGCCTCCTGAGTAGCTGGGATTATAGCCATGTGCCACCTCATCCAGCTAATTTTTGTATTTTAGTAGAGACAGGGTTTCACCATCTTGGCCAGACTGGTCTTGAACTCCTGGCTTTATGTGACCCACACACCTTGGCCTCCCAAAGTGCTGGGATTACAGGCATGAGCCACCATGTCCAGCCCAAAACTGAGATATTATTAAAGTATTCGTGAATTCATTTAAAGCAATAAAGTATCTTGAACATCTGGTTCAACAGAAGCCAAGTGGATTCTTACATCTTTTTCCACATTCCATCTGTTGTTTTAGCTGATGTGCCTGAAAAAAATCCATCCTCACTAGCTATGTAGTTGGTATAGGGAAGAGTATTTTAGATACTCCTTTCCAGATAATTGTGGATATTCTCTGATACTACACCAAAGCTTAAAAGTGATAATTTCTTAAATGTTAGTTGGAATGAGAAATCCAAATTGTATCAATAGATTTTCACATATCATATTAAATCCATAAATCCCCCTCAAACTTTGAGTAGGTCTTTTACCCACTCATGATTTGGTAACATCGTGCTTAGTATAAGAAAAGCTCAGTTTTTGCAGATCTCCAAGTGTCTGTGCATCTCTGTGGGGGGCTGCAGATCTTTCTGTGAGGACCACTGCACTAGATATCCTCCTAACTTAAAGTGCCAAGATCCTGTCAAAGAGCCCTCACGGGGCTCCAGGCATTTACCCTGCAGGAGAGGCAGATCTAATCTCAAGTTTATTGCAAGGATGCACTCAAACTCAAACTAGCACAGACAAAATAGAAGTTAGGTGAAGTTTACTCCAGGCAAGCTCTCAGAATACAGGGACATGAGAAATAGGCCATCTGTAGGCTGGAGCTGAACTCTGAGATTGAAGCTACTCGCTCACCTTGAATGAAATCACATGGCTTCTCTCCTCTGCCCACATCTGCTTCATTCTTCTACATCTCTCCTGGCAAAGTGGTGGGTTCTCTGATCCACTGTAGCTCTGGGGTAAAGGTGGCTTTGATTTACCCAGTTCTAGAAGACCTCAGGTCAAGCAACCATGTTCTCTCAGTATCTCATACCCTCCATTCCAAACTCCTGAGAGAGAGAATCTGATTAGCTCAACCTGATTTGTGACTGAGTCATGGGTCAACCCCTAGTCCTAGTACACTGGGTTACTAGGTACAAACATGGCCTGCAGCAGACAACTCAAGACGTGTCTTCTCTATGAGGCCTTTGAATTGTGGGTAAAATACAGTCAAATCTTAAAATGTATGAACACAGAGAAAGCAATAAAAAGTGACATGTTATAGAAGAAATAGAAGAGAGGAAAAATCCAATAGTGGTCAGCATGGCAATCTTGTGTTCATTGATATTTAATGGTAGCAATAATAATAGATGGTGTTTATTGACAGCCTATTATGTGGCAGGTGTTAAACTTGGAATAGATTTTCCTCATTAAAAGTGAAAAATAACCCAAATAGTAGGTCTATTTTTATCCCCAATTTAGCATAACAGTTAAGAGTCTGGGCCTTGGAGCCAAACCACTGAGTCTGTGTAGTTGGATGGCGTTGGGTGAGTTCTGCAACTTTTCATTGCTTCATCTCTTCCACGTTTTCTAAGGGTCAAATAGCTTCTGATGAAAATAAAGTGGAATGTGAGTGGTGGGGCTGAGGGCAGAGAGTGTAGATTCCTTCCCTGACTCTCAGATGGAGATGGTAAAGATCAGAAGAGAGCAAGAGGGAAGCCTGTGCTTGTTATGGACGTGTATGTTAGAGTAGATGGGAGCTCTGGCCAAGGCTTTGGGTTCAAATCCCAGCTCTGCCATTTTCTAACTGCTGATCTTGGGCAAGTTTCTTAAAAACTGTTTCCTCTTTCACAAAATGAGGGAAATTGGCCTTCCTCATAGAGTTGCTGTGAGATCATATGAAGTGACAGATGTGATGTTGATTTCACATCTATGTCTGCTGCTGGTGAGGGTGACCTGTGATCAGAGCTGTCTATGATTAAAGCAAGGCTGGTGCACACAGCACAACTGTGTTCATCCCATCCCAAAGTGCACTAGAATAGACACGCATCCTTCTCTTTCACACGTCTCTTCCCCAGGTGCAGGAGCCATGACGTTCTAGGACCTGTTTCAAATGTTGACTGAATAGCATAGAGCCTATAAAATACCACGTTATTTAAACAGAAATGCTTCCTAAATATGAACTTTAACTGCAAGAACTTTTCTATTTCCCTTCTAATAGACAATTTCTAATGCTATTCCCCTTGCTGCTCCTCAGAAAGAAGCCAGAGCTGGGCACAGGGCCACCCACAAGCAAACATTCCCCAAGATGTGCCATGAAGCAGTCTTGCCCTCACTCCCACCCCAATAAGCTGTTTTTGCCTTTCTTGCTCTTAAGATGCTTCTCCAATCACTTAGATCTTGTTAGACTCCTTTCTTTTTTTCTTTTCTTTTTTTTTTTTTTTTTTTTGAGACAGAGTCTCACTCTGTCGCCCAGGCTGGAGTGCAGTGGCATGATCTTGGCTCACTGCAACCTCCGCCTCCCAGGTTCAGGCAATTCTCCTGCCTCAGCCTCCTGAGTAGCTGGGATTACAGGCGTGTGCCACCACGCCCAGCTAATTTTTGTATTTTTAGTAGAGACGAGGTTTCACCATGTTGGTCAGTCTTGTGTTGAACTCCTGACCTTGTGATCCACCCGCCTTGGCCTCCCAAAGTGCTGGGATTACAGGCGTGAGCCACTGCGCCCAGCCAGATCTGGGTAGACTCTTAACAGGCCAAGTTCCCATAATCAGGTAAAAAGCCTCCATCTGCAAGGTGGGTGAGTCCAGGTGACTCAACCAACACCTCTAACAGTCTGTTATGGCAAATAGATTTTGTCCTCTGCTTTGCAGAATGTGGGCAACTCTGTGAGTGTTTGAGACACACATCACCCTAGAAAACCCATATGTTACCACTTTACCTTTGAGATCAGTTTGCTTGTGGGCTTCTCTCCCAGTGCCTGGCCTGCAAAAAAGACCATGTCTGACCCACGACAAGTTGCTCTCTATCCAACTCCTTGGATAGACTCAAGTCTTTCTGAATCAGGACAAGCAATGATGGCGAGTGGGGGAGACGTTCTTGAAACCCTTAGGTTCAACAGGCTTGAATGGTGAAGTCTTCTGAAAGGCAGTTTATCTTAGCCAGGGCCCTGGCTAAGGAGAGAGGTGGCCGCAATGTCAGAGAGCCTGTCTCCCTGGGGCCAGTGATGGTAAGCAGATGCCCTGGCAATTTCTGAGCAGCAGTGATTTAATTCCTGCCAACTGTTGGAGTGATGAACAACAGGTTAGCGAGGGAGGCACTGGAGTAATTCCTCACAGGTGTTCAGCAGAGAGTGAATCGTTATTCTCAGCAAAGGAAATGGACTCTGGGATATGCTAAGACAGCGGAGGGGTGGAGCTTGAGAAAACAGTAGACAGGACCTCAGATTCTGGATTTAAGTCCCAAACTGCCTACCCGCTAGCAATGGACAGTGGCCAAAACTGCTTCCTCATCTGTAAAATGGGTGGACTGCTATTACTGCTACTTCCTTGCTTATTTAACAGGATTGTAGAGAGAAAGTGAGATATAGGAAAACATGTTGGACAAACTCGTATATGATTTCTGATTTCTCCCATGGCCTCTTGCTTCTTTTGCTGTGTGTGTGAGAGAGTATGCGTGTTTGTGGGTATATGGATAGGGGTATGTGTGTGTGAGAGAGAGAGAGAGAGAAAGAGAGAGAGCTTCCTGTGTCTGCTAACAAATTACCACAAACTTAGTAGCATAAAACATCTCTTTACACAATTCTGAAGGTAAGGAGTCTGAATCAGTTTCCTGAGTCGAAATCAAGGAGTGGGCCCTGCTGTGCTCCCTCAGGAGACTGGGAGAGCCTGCTATGTCTTTTCCAGCTTCTACAGAAAGAAGCCCATGGCTCAACCTCCGTCCTCTAACCCAGCAGTGGAGCATCCTGTGTCAGTGATGATATCGTCACCTTCTGTGTCAAATGTCCCTCTGCCTCCCTGTTATAAGGACCCTTGTACAGCTAGTGCTCGACTTACGACCACGGTCGGGACCGTGGACCTGTCGTAACACGATTTGGTCGTAAGTTGAGTAGGCTATATGTACAGTTGAAATGGTGCACATGGAGATGGTAGTGCTGCCGGAAGCTGGTCCGCACTATCGTACACCCAGCTGGGCAACGTTTGCGCTACCAGATGCAGAGCAGTCGTGGCTAGTGATTGTGGTCGTAAAGTTGAATGGTCGTAAGTTGCATAGGTGGTAAGTCAATCAGTACCTGTAATTGCATTTAGGGGCCCCCAAATAATTCAAGATCATCTCCCCATCTCAAGATCCTGAATCACATCTGCAGTCTCTTTTGCCATATAATGGCACATTCACAGGATCCGGGGACTAGAACATGCACCTCTGGGGACCATTATTTAGCCAACCCTGCCATGCATGCACTGCAACACGGGAGAGGTGAGGGGAGGAGCCTATGTGGAGATTGGAAGGGGACAGGCTCCTGTGTTCATAAGGAAGTGCACAGAGTCCCTTCCAGCTTTTTCATATTTCCAAGCAAATCCAACTGATGCTCATTCAAAGTCCCTCTGTGTATATGTTGGGGCAGGCCAGACAGCAGTGGGGCTGACAGCCAGATTCTCAGGTCTGAACCTTACGCCAATGCTTCCAAAAGTGGAGTCACTGGACTGTCAGCCTCAGCATCCCCTGGGAACTTGTTAGAAATGCAGAATTTTGGACTCCACCCCAGTCTCCTGGATTGGAGACTCAGAGGTGGTTTAAAAAGGCCTCGGGGGATTCTGATGCTGGCCCTTGGTAGCTCAAGTTTGAGCAAGGGTCCCTAGAGGAAAAGATAAGGCTTGGGATTGGATCCTGGAGCAGGGGTTCTCAGTGCTGGCTGCAGAGTCTAACAACTGGTGGGGGGCGGCTTTTGAAAAATAGTGCATGAATCAGAGCATCTGGGGATGGGGCCCAGGCAAGAAAAGTTTTTTTTTTTAAGTTCCCAGGTGATTCTTACCTGCAATCTGCTTTCAGAGCCACTCATGGTGCACAACCCCCACCCCACTCTTCGGCCTTGTGGGGAAGAATTGGGACTCACTAAATCAGTGTTTCTTAAACTTAGGACAGCATCAGAATCACCTGGAAAGTTTCAGATACAGATTCTGAGGCCCACCCTGAGTCACTCATGTAGTCGCTCTGGGGTAGGGCCTGAGACTTGGCATTTATAACATGTTTCGGGGTGATCCTGATGCTTTTGGTCCAGAAGCCACACTTAGAGGGACATCACATTCATGCATGAATTTTTTTTTTATACTTTAAGTTCTCGGGTACGTGTGCAGAACGTGCAGGTTTGTTACATAGGTATACATATGCCGTGGTAGTTTGCTATACCCATCAACCCATCATCTACGTTAGGTATTTCTCCTAATGCTAGCCCTCCCCTAGAGCCCCACTCCCTGACAGGTCCCGGTGGTGATGTCCATGTGTTCTCATTGTTCAACTCCCACTTATGAGTGAGAACATCATGCATGATTTTAATATCAACAGCCTACTCAGAATACCTTTCCCAGCCCAAGTTAAAACCACAGATACTAAAAGCCTTAGAAATTACTTGATTTGCTTCTTTCCCCTGGTTTTGCTTTTTAGGGCAAATCCCATTGGAACTTAGCTATTGATATTATGGTTTTCATGACTTAAAGATGTAAGAAATCTTGTAGAGATGGAGCTTGAGGGGGAAGCGAAGGGAGAAGGACGTTGGAAATAGGTGGGCTGGGGATAAAAAACCAGAAGTGGCCCTAGTCTGCTTGACAGCTTTGCCAGTGCCTGACCCTGGTTTCAGGGGACAGGGGAAGAAGGAGAGAAGCAGTGATGGTGATTCCACATGATACTCTTGATTTAGTGAATAACTCCCCAATGTTGTAAGACAGCATTCAACTTTTCATTATTAAGATCATTTTCAGCTCGAACCAACAGTTTAAATCATCTATCCAGACGTCATCTGATGGTCCTCTCCGCCCCTTGACAGGTAGGTCCCATTGCCTTGAAATCATCCATCCCAGGATTGGGACTGAGTTGCCCTACTGAGGATTCCTGTTAATTCCCAAAGAATGAACCTTGTAGGTCTTTATTAAGTAAAATGGCTTAAAAGCTTTAACTTCTTAGATTCCTCTTTCTTTACCCCAATGCAAAACTCAGCCTCTTTGCCAGTTTTCTACTAAAATTTTAAAAATTCACACCCACCAAGAGTTTGATTGATTAAGGAGGCTTTGCTGAAGAAGAAAGCTTTCTTACATCTCATCACAATTTTCTTACCACTCTCCCCTTGACTTCCTGGGCCTTCCCTCTCCCACTTCTTATTTGCATTCCTCTTGCTAGCAAAACTTATCCTTGTACAAAACATTCCCTCTTCTTACCTCATGTCTAAGGGATGAGGATTTGCCTTTTGTAGTAGGGAGCATGGAGGCTCAGCCTGGATTCCAGAAGCACTCATCAAAGCACATCTTCTAAATTCATTGTTAGATTTTTGACACAATTCAGAGAATTTCTGGTGAACAAAATTTTTCTTTACTTTGGTATAAATGTTAGCTGTATTTACCCATTCCACTTTAAATAAACTTTATATTTTAGAATCATTTTAGATGTACAGGAAGCTGCAAAGCAAACACAAAGTTTTTATAGCCCCACACTCGGTTTCTCCTGTTATTAATATCTTACATTCCTATGGCACATTTATCACAATTAATGAACTAACACTGACGTGTAGTTATTATTAATTAAGTCCAGGCTTTACTCAGATTCCCTTTTTTTTTTTTTGTTTTTGTTTTTGTTTTTTGAGATGGAGTTTCGCTCTTGTTACCCAGGCTGGAGTGCAATGGCACGATCTCGGCTCACCGCAACCTCCGCCTCCTGGGTTCAGGCAATTCTCCTGCCTCAGCCTCCTGAGTAGCTGGGACTACAGGCGCGCGCCACCACGCCCAGCTAATTTTTGTAGTTTTAGTAGAGACGGGGTTTCACCGTGTTGACCAGGATGGTCTCGATCTCTTGACCTCGTGATCCACCCGTCTCGGCCTCCCAAAGTGCTGGGATTACAGGCGTGAGCCACCGCGCCCGGCCTTCAGATTCCCTTCTTACATATTTTTGTCGACAGAATTTTGCTCTGTTGCCCAGGCTGAAATGCAATGGTATGATCTCAGTTCACAGCAACCTCCGCCTCCTGTGTTCAAGCAGTTCTCCTGCCTCAGCCTCCCAAATAGCTGGGATTACAGGTGCCTGCCACCATGCCCAGCTAATTTTTGTATTTTTAGTAGAGACAGAGTTTCACCATGTTGGCCACCTGACCTCAAGTGATCTGCCTGCCTCAGCCTCCCAAAGTGCTGGGATTATAAGTGTGAGCCACCGCGCCCAGTCCCCTTCATTTTTATGTAATGTCTGTCTTCTGTCCCAGGATCCCATCCAAGATATATTAAGTCGCCGTGTCTCCTTCAGCTCCTCTTGGCTCTGACGGTTTCTTAGACTTTGCTTGTATTTGGTGACCTCTTCAGTTTTAAAGAGTGCTGGTCAGGTATTTTGCAGAAAGTTCTTCAATTTACTTTTATCTGACATGTTTCTTACAATTAGACTGGGGTTAGGATTTTGGGAGGAAGATCTCAGAAGTAACATGCCATTCCTGCCCCATCACATCACTG